CCCCACCCCCATGACACTATACATAAAATAAAAAATGTCAAAAGGTTTCTAAGAAATTTCAGGGTCTTATTTAATGTCACAGGTGCCTTCAAATGTTTCATCAGCCATTTAGTCTATTTACAGGGAACAAACAGTCGGTGGGAAGTTTGGTATGGTTGTCTTCACTGAGCTAAACATGAAGCAGAGAAAGGAAAGCTGAGATCTGTCCGAGGAGCTCAAACAGGTTACAAATATTCATATTAAAGGTAAAGGCATCAACTCCAAACAAACTACAGCTGCAAATACGAGAAGGTCAGTGGAACTGTAGCTAATATTGTGGACGCAAGAGGAAATGCAGCCCCAGGTTGATCAGTCAAATAGAATATGATTAAAAAATAATAAAAAAAACAAGAAAACCATCCAAAAACATTCAAGCTGAACTCCAATATCAAGCTAAGTTTGTTTCTGATTAGATAGATTGTTTTTATCCTAATAATCTCTAAGGAAGTAAAAACAAGACAGCTACTCTACTGGAAGAACAACACGCAGAAAAACCAGACAAATTCAGCAAAATATCGGTCTACAAGTCCCAAAGATGCTGGGAAAAGTTTCTGGAACCGATGAGACAAAACTGGAGCTTGTTGGCTCCAGTTACATTAGTTGTGGGTTGTTTTTTTATTGATTATTGTGTAAGTTTATCAACAAATGTAACCACATCTGCATGTATGAGTGTCCAGTGTTTGTGTGAGTTTTTTTTTTATATACATACTGTTAAGGCCTTGCTTGTTGACTATGGTGCTGCTGGCCAGGGCTTCGTAGTACTGCTGGTTACTCATCAGGGTGTGCATGCCCAGGATGGCTGGAAAAACACAGCATAAATGAGCAGAGAGGAAGCAGGAATCCACATTTTTAGGTATTTTTAAGCATTTGTTGACATCACCACTTGTATTAAAAAATGGCCAACAAAGCACCTCATCATCACAAGCAAATTACAACGTTTAAGGTTGACATTATTCCATTTGACATCAAATTCAGAAGTTTAAATGATATAACACTTTTTCCTGGCCTGACTGCAGATCAGTTTAGTTCATTCATCTTCTACAGCGCTACAGTATATCACAATATTAGTGTATGAAACCAATATATTAATGATTTGCTTAAAACAGCATATAATCTGAATTTGATTTCTGACTGAGAAATCGGTTGTAAAAAAGTACGCAAATTCTAACTGTGCATTTTTTAAGATTAAAACTTCTGTAAGTGTAAATGAGCATATCATCTACAAAAAATGTTCCTTTTTTACATGTGACATAGTAATACTCACTTTATTTTATAAAGCTTTACATATTAAGAAACATTAATGAAAGTAGTAATTTGATAATGTTGGGCAATGGGTACTAATACATATGAAATGATGTGTTGCTGCCATCATGTGTACAGGAAGTGACCAGCCCAATTTTTCATTGGTTGGGAGTTCTGGCTAACGATTTTAATTTTAATTAGATTAGGCTAATAATGACAGTAAAAATGGATAATACATTTTTTAATTGGAATGAATGTTTAAAAACAAAAGAATCCATCAATTATCCATCACAGAAGGATTTACACTGATGTGTTAAAGGAGGGCTTCATGTTCAGTCAGGTCACTGAATTCTTCTAATGTCAAATTGGAAAATAAATTGTTCAGCAGGGCTTTTCACAGCAATGACGTGCAAAATGTTTTCAGCAGGTTTTTTTTTAAATGTTGGCTCATCACAAAATAACATGATCATGACGGACACAAACAAGTGGTTCATGCAAACACAGTGAGGTGTCACCAGATACCCAGGATGGTGCTCAGCTAATGGACAGAGAGATCCAGAAGAGGGAGAGGAGGAGAAAATGAAGAGCCCAGCAGAGAGATGGAGGGGGAGGGCGGAGGAGGGGGAGGGATGGAAGGAGTGCTAAAGGAAATGGAGGAATGCACGTTAGACTAATTAGATCAACAAGGGCTGGTTAAGGCCATGATGATGTCTTTACACTGATAACAGTTCAGAGGATGAAAAAAGTTAAGATATATGATCTACCTTGTTCAGCAAGGCAAATGAATTGGAATATCCCAAATTATTGTATTAGAGAACACACATTTAAGCAGTTTTTATCCTGTTGATTTTAATGCTGTTTAAAGCCTGCTTATATTTTTAAATTACTTGATTTCTGACAAACATCATAATTAATGGAATAAAACACACAAGCATCGCTGTTTATATAGCATGATATGCGAATGTTCATTAAGCACGGTGTGTAATATGTCACCTGCAATATCACAGAGTTCCGCATCAGACGCACTCGCCAGGGCTTCCTCCAGCTCCGGCTCCAGAGTCACATTTTCTATGATTGGGTCCACCATCTTTTTAGGAACCCAAGCCTTCCCTGCCAGATGAGAACAAAGAATAAAATGCAGCTTGTACTACAAACCCTGGCAAAAAGTATGGAATCAGCAGTCTTGGATGAGCACTCATTCAGACATTTCATTCTGTAAAAACAAACTCAGATCAAAAACATGATACAATAATAAGGTCATTCCAAAGTGCAACTTGTTGGCTTTCAGGAACACTCAAAGAAATGAAGAGAAAACATTGTGGAAGTCTGTGAATATTACTTTTATTGACCAAGTACAGGGGAAAAAATATGGAATCACTCAATTCTGAAGAAAAAAGTATGGAATTATGAAAAACAGATAAATAAAAGACCATTCAAAATACATCACTAGTATTTAGTTGCACCACCTTTGGCTTTTATAATGGCTTGCAGTCTCTGAGGCATGGACTTGATGAGTGACAAAYAGTAWTCTTCATCAATTTGGTGCCAACTCTCTTTGATAGCAGTTGCCAGATCAGCTTTGCAGGTCGGAGACTTCTTGTGGACCATTGTTTTTCAATTTCAACCACAGATTTTCAATTGGGTTGAGATCTGGTCTATTTTCAGGTCATGACATCGACTGAATGTGTCTTTCTCCAAGGAATGCCTTCACTGTTTTTGCCCTATGGCACAATGCATTGTCATGTTGGAAAATGATTTAATCACCTCCAAACATCTGTTCATTTGAAGGGATGAGAAAACTGTCCAAAATGTCAATGTAAATTTGTGCATTGATAGAAGAATGAACCACAGTCATCTCCCCAGTGCCTTTGCCTGACATGCAGCCCCATATCATCAAGGACTGTGGAAATGTGGTTGTTTTCTTCAGGCAGTCCTCTTCATAAATCTCACTGGAACGGCACCAAACAAAAGTTCCAGCATCATCACCTTGTCCAATGCAGATTCTTGACTCATCACTGAAGATAACTTTCATCCAGTCATCCACAGTCCATGATAGCCTCTCCTTAGCCCATTGCAGTCTTGTTCTTTTTTGTTTAGGTGTCAATGATGGTTTTCTTTTAGCTTTCCTGTATTGAAATCCCATTTCCTTTAGGTGATTTCTTACGGTTCAGTCACATTGGCTCCAGCTTCCTCCCAGTTATGCTTCATCTGTTTAGTTGTACTTTTTCGGTTTTCAAGACAAATGGCCTTAAGTTGTTTGTCTTGACACTTTGATGTCTTTCTTGGTCTACCAGYACGCTTGGCTTTAACAACCATTCCATGCTGTTTGTATTTGGTCCATATCTTGGATATAGCTGACTGTGAACAGCCCATATCTTTTGCAACCATGCGTGAAGAGTTCCTTTTCAGTCATTTCACTCAGTACAACACACAGTTGTATATGGGACATGCGCGCCCTCGCGCGCCTGGCTGAAGCCACTTCTAATCAGGTCTTTAGACCGGTAACGTGGTGACGTTGAACGTCTGGTGACAGGCTCTGCCTTCACCCTATAAGTTCGGAGTCACCAGCGTGATAACAGTTCTATCGCCCTTCACCTTGCGATAGTCACCTCTAAACCTGAGCTTACATAGCTGCTGCTAGTTAGCTCAGCTTCTAAGGTTCTTAGGCTAGCTTTACTGATGCTAACTGCATTATCTGCTGGTTCGTGTGTCTGCCGCTCGACGCTACTTAAGTGACCTTTATTTTCTGCTGAAAATCTGTTTTGTGGTTCACGATGAGCACAAAACCACCTTCGAAGAAGCCGAAGTCTTCTGTTCGCCCCTGTCCTCAAGGGTGCGGCTTTAAGCTTCATGAGAAGGACCAGCATGAGGCCTGCCTAGGAATCATTCATGCTCGACGGGCGCTTGTGGAGCCCGAGTCCTGCCGGGCCTGTGCCGGACTTTCGCGTCCGACACTGGAGAGGAGAGTGAAATTCCTGGAGAAAATGCTGGGGGAAACTGCTGTTTTCTGACAAGACCCGCTGCTCTCCGAATCCAGCCAGATGGCTCAGTCCGACGAAGAGGAGGATTTGGCGGTCGAAGCCCCCGCTGCTAGCTGGGCGGACCAGATGGAGCACGAGGCGGCCTCACCCGACATCGAGGGGGGCGAGACCCAGTTTCTAGAGGGTGGACCAGGATTCGTCCTTCTTGTCCCTGTGCCGCCGAGCTGCTGCTAAACTGGAGGTACAGTGGCCCAACCCCCCACCTGCTCAAAAGCCGTTGAGGTTCGCAGGGTTTTATCTCCAGTCTGAACCTGCTGATGTGAAGCACCGTCTGCCTATGTTTCCGGACTTGCCACTCCACTTTGTCCAGCAGCCCTCCAAGGTATCATGACTGCAGGTGTTTTTAACTGCAGACTAATGAGCAGATCTAATCTGAGGCAGGTGTCCATTTAGGGAAAGGAAATTGACTGGGTGTGTCCTTATTTTCTACCTCCAATTTGAGAGATTCCATACTGTTTTCCTCAGAATTGAGTGATTCCATATTTTTTCCCTGTGCTTGGCCAATAAAAGTTACATTCACTGACTTCCACAATGTTTTCTCTTCATTTCTTTGAGTGTTCCTGGAAGCCAACAAGTTGCACTTTGGAATGACCTTATTATTGTATCATGTTTTTGAACTGAGTTTGTTTTACTGAATGCAATGTCTGAATGAGTGCTCATCCAAGACTGGTGATTCCATACTTGCCAGGGGTTGTGGTTCAATAACCACAGCTGATGCTGAGCTTGAGCTTGAGTGGATCTGTTCATGATGTCTGACTTCTGCACACTATATGGTCAAAGTTCTTCTGGGCACAAGCTCCAGGTCAAATCAAATGAAAATATTAAGGCATTTGTGAACGTAGATTGTAATTTTGTAGTTAAGCAAACATGTGAGACAGAATTGCACAAATTAGTTCTGTTACACTATAAATATTTACAGTACATACTTCTTAACATCTGACTGCCTATAAAGTTAAAAATATCTGAGTTTTCATTAGTAAAGATCTTTTAGGTCTCCATTTGTATCTGCTGCTCCATTCAGGCAGATGTTTTCCAACCACCATTTTAACCACAGACTTAAAAGAAGAAAGCAGAAAAGATTTATCCCAGGTTCAACCACAACAAAATAAAGCCCAACACAAAAGCTGAAACAGGAAAAGATAACTTTGTTTAGGAGTTGAGTTGAAAATGGAACAACACCAGCAGATGAAAACGCGATAAAACAGCTGGAAGAGCTTCTGAAATTTTAATCACACACACATATTTGTGTCCTCGTTAGACTGAACAGCTGACAGACCTTCGAAGACTTGATTATAGTTAAAGTTGGCACTTCATTTCTTTGTTGAAATAATTTGAAGTATTTTCACAATATTTAAGGATAATAATAGTAGTTAATAGTACTCTATTTTATTGAAGTTTTCTTGTTTACACATTTAACACTACAATTCTTTACTAGAAAACTCCATCCCTTACCTCTCTTTTCCCCAGTGAACGGCACCAGATCTTCTTTGTCAGGATGCTCTTTGGCTTCTTTCTCCAGATGGGCCAGCAGGTTGTCTCGCTGAAATGTTCCTGTTGGTGATTTCTTAGTCTGATCCTTCTGACGAAGACCAGCAGGCAACAGTGCATTCTAGAAAAGGATGATTGTTTACATAAGTTAAAATACTGGCTTTGCAGACTGGTGAAACAATAGATAACTGGATATTACCAATGTAAAAAATAAATAAAAGTTCTGCCCATTTTTGTTATAAAAACTCAAGACTAGAAGAGCTAAAAAAATTGCTCTCTACATTCTCAGCTTTGTCAGGACACAAAAAAATTGCACTTCATATAACACTGGTTTCATAAAATAATTTTACATAAATGATCCATAGTTTGTTTCAGAAATGTTATTTTCTTTGTATTGTGTTGGTTTAAAGCAAAGAAAAAGGTTATATA